ATGACCAGTTTCAAACAAAACTTCTACAGGAGAGTAGTAGCATTTACCTATTTCTTGCTGACATTGACTCATCTATAGAATTTAACTCCCCTTATCCCCAACAGCTAATCCAAAGGTTAAGCAAAAGTCATGTTTAAAAATAAGTAAACAGATAAAATACCCAGACCTTTCCATCCTGCCTTTTAAGCATCTTTGGCCTGGAGTGTTTTTCATATTACTGTCAGATGCAGCTGTCTGTTCCAGCAGATCATACTCAGTCACTGCCAAAAGGTTGTTGCTGTGCACTTGATTCCATGAACTCCCTTCCCTCTCTGAAAATAAGATAAGTCAATTTTTGTAAGAATATTGCTTTTATTTGTAATATTTGATTGAGTAGAGAGTCAACATAAGAAGCTGAGAAACCTTAGTTTACTCCCATAGCTATATTTGAGCCTGAAGAAGCTCACTCCCTGATAATACTGAAGCTGTCATGCTTATAATTCTTACAGTGAGTTGTGTTGTCTGTGGGTGTTGTATAATGTAGCATTTTAATTATTTGTTAATGTAGATACATTTTAATCAACAGTTGAAATAATGAAGTAACTAATTATACAAATCTCTTTTCCTTTTGCTAAGTATAGGTATTAAAATCCCAGAAAGGTTTTCATTAGGTAATCGTTGAGTATTGGTGGACCTTAAGTGTGCTGGTTTTTTAAGGAGCATTTTCAGATTTGGAAATACTGCAGCCATGCAAATGTCCTGAGAGATCGTTTCAGAACTTTATCCTCCAAAGTATATGCATCTTTTTGTAGCTGTCAGCGAGTTGGCAGGCGATTACCAACTATTTCTGTGGGTCTGGCTTTCAGTACACTTATTATTACAGGCCATTAGCTTGGGAACCTAGGAGCTAACATTTATTTCCCAACCCCAAAGCATCCTAAAAGTGCATATTGTTTTTTTGTTTCCGTTGATACAGTTCTTCAGTCAACTTTTCATCTGTATCATTTGTTCTGTAGAAGCTGGCCTTGTATTTATTGAAGTTATGAAATAATACCAAGCATTTAGAATTCATTTCTATTCTTACATCTAGCAGCTGTTTTTGTACACTATAGATTTGTTTACTTGCTGTTGTATACAATCTGATAGCAGCTGTTGGTTATATCTTAATAGCATCCCCGTTTTTATTGTTTACACACATCGAGGAATAAGCTCCAGTTCTGTGATACTGTAAAGCTTGCACTATTGTAATTTATAAGGCTTAATTTGATCAATATATGCACAAGTAATGAGGTATTATTTCTTAAATCTTGTTAATCTATACTGATTTTAAAGCATTCCATGCATTATTCTTAACTTCTGAAGTGCTAACAAACTTTTAGTATTTTTACTTGTTTACAGCTGACTGTGGGTTGTTTTTTTTTGTTTGTTTGTTTTTTCAAGCACTTAGAAATGATCTTTTTACCAAAAGGTCTTGGAGCATTGTTTCAACCTTTTGGTCCTTGAAAGATTTTTTTTTTCCTCATTTAGGAATACCCAAACTTTTATTTGGCCAGAGTAAGGGTATTTCGTAAAATACTTTGTTTTCTTGCTACAAAAACTCTAGGAAGCCCTGTTACGAAAGAAATGCTGTCAAGTGGCTTTCATCCTGCCTTTATCACTGATGTTCAGTAACCATTCAAAACTTACAGGGTCAGGTAAGAGCTTTCTTAATAGAGCAGTGACATTATTTCTGGTTAGCCTTTAATATGTTTGCTGAAAGCTCCAATGCATCTCTCACCTGATTTTCGTTTGTTTTCTTTTGGTTTGGTTTGTGGTTCTATCATACTTTCAGAAAGGATTTTTTTTTTCTTCATTTTACTTCTTTAAGTTTAGTTTAATCAACTGAGTCTGCTGATGGATCCACTGAGCAGTTGTTCAGAAGTGTTTGGATTGAGAATGCAGCATGCAAAGTACTTTTCCAATAGCAATATTTGGAAAGATTTGTATGTGAATGGTGCTCTATGCTCATTGTTGCATATGTGTGTGTGCTTTAACTAGTACAAATTGTATTCAAAAGCTATTGCAGCTTAAGTGAATACTTCAACATAACCAAATAATACTGGAAGACAGAAGAATGGGCAATGCTTGAGTGCTTGACATATGAAGTACTTGGCTTTTCAGACCTAGAAAACTGTACCTTCACTTCCATGATAATTAGGTGTGCCATTTCCTTTTCTAGCTCAGTCTTTCAGGTACAGATACTGCAAAATATTGCATGTCAGTTAACATTCAGAAGGAGTGTTCAGTTAGCTAAAATTAGGCAGGTTCTTCAGTCCTTGCAGGATAGGAATATTGGATTCCTTAATATTTTATTAGTAGAAAATATTTTAAATCTTTATAATGCAAAATATTTATGTCTGAACATCCTTGAGGTTTTTGTTTTTGTTTTTGTTTTTTTGTTGGCTTCTCAATTTTAAGTACACATTGTTGGAAAACTGACTTTCATTTGAGGAATCAGAGAAAAGGAAAATCATTGTGCTGACTGAGGGGAAAACGAATTGCAAACTCTAATACCAGATTGCATTAAAACTGTACTAAAAATAATAGTAATTGTCATGTTCTCCATTTTTGGTGCTGTCACTTTTTTTTTTTTTAAACTTACTGTAAGCATTCCAAAGGAAATAGATGAAAATGTCCTGATTCATCACTAGTTCTTAATGATGGGTGAAATACTGTGAACCACCTTGCAACACTGAACGCTGTTAATAGTGTTCAGAAGCTGATTTATTTCACATTATCTCTGAAGTAAACACATTCACACATTCATTTACAAATGCTAGTTGCAGCATTGTCAGGTATTGTGAACTCTGCCTTTGGAGTTTGTAGTATCAAGAAGAAGTTTTCTTATCTATTCTTAATAGTGTTGAGGAGTTGACCAAAACCTGAGGTTTGTCTTCATGCTTACCTGTCTTCATTGCCTGTTTATAACTATGTGCATACCTCTGTATGTATATATATATATATTATATACACACATACATCATTCAGTATATATGTTCATATTTGTTTCTGCAATAAGTTTATTTCCTGCAAACCAACGCTGTTAATGGAGTCTTTGTTTCTGTGGATCAAAGATACGTCTGCCTGGTTCTTGAAGATTTTATTTTGTTTAAACTCCTTTTTACTATGCAGTTGCCTCTAGCAAATGAAAATCCAAACAACCTAGAAATGTGATGACTAAAGAATTTGAATAATGATGTCTGTATTGCGTAAAATGTTCTAAAGTCAGATATGTCCACAAAGTCATTAGTAGTTTCTAGGATGTTCTTGTTTATAACTGCTACTAGGAATCATCTGTTTTCCTGCAAAAAAAATGCAATGTTTCATCTGAATGTTTTGCTTTAAATCACTTCTACTTCCTGAAGAGAATCTGCTATTATTTGTTAAGCCTTGTAAGAGACAAGTATTTTAATATCTAAACTGTTTTATTTTCATATTGTAGGTTTTGACTTTTGCCTATAAGCATGCGCTGGCGAACAAAATGTATGGGAGAGGGCTCAAGTTCGCAACAAAACTTGCAGAAGAAAAGCCAACAAAAGACAACCTGAAAAACTGCATTCAGGTAAAGTGTGTTCATTAAAATGATGGTCTGTATTCTGAGTAAATGTTTAAACACAGGAGGCGTAATCTTTGTTATATTTTACGTTGTAGAACTCAAAATGTTAACCTTATCAAAGCTTTTGATGTTTGGTCCCATTTTTTTGGTCCCAGTTTGCTCTTCCATTTTTTCTAGAGTATTTACCAAAACTCTTCTGCATATTTAAATCATTATGTGACTGTTTATCGTTACTGTTAGTAATCACAAATAGTACTAGTATAACATAGGCAGAGAATTAATGGGAATTACTGTACCTCCTATGAAATTTAATCACATCAAATATTTGTATGTTTAATTGAAAGGCTGTAGATCACCTAGCCTTCCAGATCTAAATAAATTCAAGTTCTCCAGACTTATCTTTCTGATTACAGATATCCTCAGTGAATAGTTAATGTCAATGCAATGTGTGTTGGAAGGACTTAAATTGAAGAATATGACCCATGAGCATCTCACTTTTGTTTTTGTTGTTTGCTTTCTTCCTTCAGCTAATGAAGTTATTGGGATGGACTCACTGTGCAACTTTCTCTGAAAACTGGCTTCCTGTTATGTATCCCCCTGATTATTGTGTATTCTAGAAATCTGGAAATTGTAAACCTAACGTAATTCTATAAGGGCAGGATATGAAAAGATAAGTTTGATTTTTTTTTTTTATAGGAACGCATGTTTTCATTACTGAATGTCGATCATTAAATTGTGTGTATTTATCAGTAAAGGCACCTGGGTACAGCTTAATACCTGTTAACCTGACTCCAGTCATCAGGGAGTTACCTTATTGTGCATCCCATTGCTGGCAATGGACGTGCCAGAACTGCTAACAGAAAAGAGTTGGAATTAGGCTGATATAGCTTACTGCATGCATGTTAGTTTCTTAACTGTTAATTTTAACTGCAAACCTGTAAAAGCTCTGTATTTTTTACAGTAAAGTGACTTTTAACACGTTTGATCTTAATTTCATTTTCAATTGTATGAAGGCCTTAAAGCTACTTCAGGAGTAGCTAAAATCTTATTTATTAGACAAAACTAATGGGACATAATTATCCATATTGTTTGCAAGAGTTTACATTTGTGGTTTTGTTCTTTGTTTTTTTTTTTTTGTTTTTGTTTTTTAAAGAAAAATTCAACCTCTGAAACTGTTAATACATGCAGCTCAGAATTGCTGATGCATAGGTGCTCCTGTAAATCTTCATTTTGGAGTGATTTCAGGCAAACTCAAAAATCCATGTGAACCTGAGTATCAGGACAGGCTGATACAAAGTGCCAGACAGTTAAATCTCAACCAGGTATTGTAAAGCTATACATATATGTTTAATAATGTTAAAAATGTAAAACACAACAGAATAAATGTGCAAAACTGATGATCAAAAAAACACCATGTGCACTCTGATACTTTAAAAGATTATTTTATAGGTAATAAAAACAAATAAAGCTAAAAATATTGGTTCATCCAGGAGTATGTAAATGAAATTTGCTGAAAGAGAACACCTTCCAAACAGCAGAAGTTCAGTGCAGCCTAGAAGATCAATGCTTTCTGTTAATGTCTCCCTGCTATCTGACTACTTAGTGACATTGTTCCTCCAGTGGAGTGAAATTGCTCTGTTTGAATAGGTTGTAAGTATGAACCCAAGACAAATGAGCTCTATTGCTTGTCTTGCCAGATTTCTTGTAACAAAACATGCGGAGTTCAGCTACAGCTACAACTTCACAGACGTAAAGGCACAGAGGGCATACCGTAATTGCACATCACATTCCAAACTGCAAGGTGCAGGTGTGAAATCAAAATTAGTAGTTGTTTTTTTTTTTTTTTCTTCAGTTCTCTCTTACCGTGGCTTTAAGCAACTTGACGTTTGATTCTGGAAATTCTGCTAGGATGGATGTATCGAATATACTGCAAAGTTGTTCCAAAAATTCATAGTCTGTACTGAATCTGAATTTATTCGCCCATAATAATACTGTCCCTGGCTGGCAGAAGTGTACCATTGTTGCTAGCAGGGCATCCAGAGCAGTATGATGGTATACAACATCACTTGCCAGTATAAAATCATAATGGTAAGTTGATAAAGGGAAGTCTTCATTGAGGTCTTCTCCCCACACCAGTTTTCTCACTTCAGGTTTGTGCGTATTCATGTTGTGTGTATTTCTTGAAATATTAAATGAGAGATTTTCAAGAACTTCAGGCAAATCAGTAGCTGTAACATAAGCTCCTAAAGAATACATAGATTTGTTTTAATTCAGAGGTATGTAATTAAACCTAAAGATGCAAACTTTTGATATTGCTTCCCCCTCAGCAATAACTAGAATCTTTATTAACATCAGTGTTCAACTTGCTTTCATTTTTTTTTTAAAAAAGCAGTGATGAATGTATTAATTTCAGCTGTTGCTTCATTGCTTTCAAGTGGCAGTCACAGATCTAGATTGTGTTTCATAAGAAATCTGAAAGGAAATAGTTTACTGACCTAAGATGGAAGCCACGATGGAAACCAAGCCTGTTCCAGCACCAATTTCCAAAACTTTCTTGTCTTTGAGGTTGAATCGTTCTTGATTTGATTCCAGATACTGAGACAAAGCCAGTGCCTGAAATAATTACCACGTATTCATAAGATGGTATCAATTAAGTTGCACAAAAATTAATTTGATGTTTTTATACTGTATTTTTTTATACAGTGGAAAACACTGATGGCTGTAACATAAACATAATATGGAAAGAAACATTGTGTCCTGTTCTTTATGTCAAACAATCCGATTAAGCTAGTTTATTGTTAATTTTAGGTCTTGTGAGATGATGAATTTGCAGCAGACATGTATACCTTTTGTGATTCCTCTCACAGCTCAAGATAGGTAGCGTCCAAATGGGAACCATTCTATTGATGAATAACATAAACAGATGCCAAAGAAATTAACTGCCCTTTTGTTTGTCGTCTTAAGACTGGTGTGTTAGGGTTTTAACTCCTGTGCTTCCTCATAATGCAACGCTGTCTACCTGCTCTGGGCAGGCTGACAACTCATGAATCACCAGCCCAATTTGCACAACCTCGCGCTTTTCTTGGAAAGTTTTACCATCTGCATTCTGACACCTGATTAATTTGAGAACTGATGTTCTGACGTTCCAGATTCAGATACCGTTTCATTTATCCATACACTTTATTTTTCTTTTTTTTTTTTTCTTTTTTTGGTCAGACGTTGTTGGTGAGCTTTTCCAATAAAAGTAGATCTGAAAAATTCTGAAGCACCCTTTCTTCCTCCAGAGCCATATTTCTGAGTCTACAAGAAGTTCTTTTTTTGCAGCAGAAGGAATGAAGATGGGAAAAGACCTGTTTGCACTGCGCTGGAATAGCTCCAGGCTGTTCTTTCAAAGAAACATTTTCATTATTTTAAAGTACCTTCTTTAATCTTTCACAATTTTCTTCTTTAGTCTCCTTTTTGTAATGTTGATTGATTGCTTCCATTTTCTAAAATGAGCAGCTGGCCAGGTGGAGGAAGCAACAATTTTTCCAATTTTTTCCAAACAATTTTAACTTTTTTTCCTCCCGATCTTCATCCAATTGACTAATTGGAAGGGGTTTTTTTTTCTTACCTCTGTAAGTGGAAATAATTTACTATCTACATGCTACTTACCTGCCCCATTTCTTTTGGTGCAAACTACCAAATCAGTGTAAGGCAGAGCTTTCTGCTCTTGTATTTCACAGCTTAGTTCCTCACCAGAAATTGGAATTAACTAAAAAAATACTAGCTTGAGGTTTGTCTGCCATTGTCATTTCTGATTTATCAGTCACATCAACTCCCTGGATGCCATATTGAGTACTTACCCCAGGCCACACCACTGCTCCAAAGTGTTCTATAGATTCCTGGATGACAATGTGCTGGCCTGCATAAGTGTAATGCTCTTTGTCAAAGTAGTGGGAAACTGTGGGAGCCCAGTTCTCCAATATTTTAAGAATTACTGGTGAATCTGTGAGAGAGAAGATGGAAGGGGTATTACATATGCATGGATTAACACACAGCTTTTTGAAGTATGAGAAGGACTTTGTGAATATTGTACATGAGCACATGCACTGGAAAAGCTGTCAGGTGATGGGGTTTAAGACCATCTGCTCTCCAGCTGTGGGCAGTCTGGCTGCTGGAGGAGCAGAAGCAGTGTTTTTAACAGGCTGCCCAGTAGAACCTATGGATCCCCATCCCTGGAGGCATTCAGGCCAGGTTGGGTGGGGCCCTGGGCAGCCTGAGCTGGTGGGAGCAGTCCTGGCAGGAGGCTGGAACTGAACAAGCTTTTAAGACCTTTCTGTGATTGTTTACATGGCACTTTACAGATACCAAAATATAAAATACAGAGAAGTTGCCTTCTGCAGCTCACGTTATGCTTGAGATTTAAGTGCTTTTCCTTGTTGTTGTTGTTTTTTCCTACTGACTCTTGAAATCAGATAGCAAATAGTTTCTTTTTAGCATCTTTTTAGATAGTAATATACTTAATGAACTTAACATGCCCTGCTAGAAGATGGCCAGCAGATACAGAATGCTAAGCTTTGTGTTTCGAAAAGAAGAGTACCTGCCATTTATGTTTTACCTGTTACACTGCCACTCACTAAAAGAGCTGGGTTTCTTGAATTCTTAACCCTTCTACAAAAAGAGCATTCTGAAACACTTTTTCAGTGTATGTTGAAACGTATGCTGCTGTTGAGCAACTGCCACTGTAGCGTAGTACTGGCATGTCTCATCATAGCATGTAGGCCGGTAGGGTGGATGTTCAGGAAAGCTCAGCTTAACTGCTCCAACCAAACTCACTGAAATCAGGGCACTTAATGACTGTGCAGCCATTGGAAGCCTAATGGCAGGATATGCATAGATGATACAACATTCAACTGCAAAGGACAATTTTGCTCTGGATTGCATGGATTTTGATCAATGCCTGCCTGCAGTTCTTAATAGATGCTCAAGCAAAGCGGTTTAGCTTATGTTAAAATTTGTAATATCACAGCTTCAGCAGTGCCAGCCCAACCAATACATGTTATAATCAGCTCTCTGGCAGTGCTTGAAAATTATTTCTCTGATGTCTAAATAAAATCCAGAGGCTTTTTACAATATGCACGTCAATTATGGAGTTAGAATAATTTTCCTAGATTTGGTCCAAAAACAAACTACAACAGAGGGAAAAAAAATGGGGAGAGTAGAGCTCAAGAGGAGAAGTGACAGATTGACATTCACTATCCAAAGACAGAAAAATGAAGCGATGAAATACCAGCAGGACACAGCAATTACAGTATTATAAAGGATTATACCGGGGTTGGATTCTGCTGTTGATGAGCAGTTGGAGCTGCAAGTGCAGTTCTCAGACTCACACGGCTCTTCACAGGCTTCTCCTTCCGCTGTTTGGCAGTCTGTTGCTCTTTGCATTGTGTTGGGAAATGGCAGCTGCTGTGCCAAGATTGTGGAACTGAAATAGAAATATATATATAGAAAGTTGAGGGCAATTCCTTTGTACAAGATAATTGGAGAGCTGGCTGTGGGATCTCCCCATCCTGCTCTGGTTCTGCCCAGGCTCATATGACTGGGTTGGGTGGCCTCACGCTGCTGGAGGTTCCTTTAAGCACCTCGTTTGATCCGTGAGGGAGAAGCTTGGCAGTGCCTGCAGGTAGTTTTTAAGGGCAGAATGACTGCTGACGTGTGGAGGTGGTTTATTTGCACCCACGACGCTGACACCACTGCAGTTCTGCTGCTTGATATATTCCTTATTACTCCCTTTATTCACAGGCACAAGACTCGTGTGCTGACTCCTGTAGCATGGTGTTCGTTCACAGCTATAGCAAGTGATTCTATTTTATTTTTTACCAGTTCAAAAGGGAGAATGCTAAGTAATTGGAATTCTGCAGATTTTGTTTTGTATTTTTCCTCCTCAGAGGGCCTCTATCTGGCAGGTAACGAGTTCTGGCTGCACACCTTTCGTATATAATTCAAAATACAATGGAGGCATAGGAGATTGAATATGGAAGGTAATGCTGGAGCTACAGCAGCCAGTTCAGTTTCGATAGTACACTGCCTGTTCTCAGCAATGGCTCTCATTCCAGCTCCAGATATGAAAAAAAAAAAAATGAAGTTCTTACTGTGGCAGTTCAGGCTTACAGTTGGCCACGTGGGTACCACAGATCAGATTTGACGCAGCTTAGTAAATGTGTATTTGCTGCTCCACTGTTGTACTCACTTGTAATAAATAACTTCTCTGATATCATTCAGTACAGACACGTTGAATTCTAAACTAAAGGAGGGATGTTCTGTTGCACTTAAAAATCGTTATGCTTTCTTCTCTTTTGTTCTTTGAGATCCTCTGTGTAATGCTATAATGGAATGATAATGGCAGAGTAGTAAAGTCTTTGGCTACAACAAACGGGAGCAAGACCAAACACAACAGCCACAGATACAGAAAAGAAGAAAAAGAGCTGCTTACCTTTGGAAGATCTCAGATAAGCAGAGATCTCCAGCAAGTAATGCCCTCTCTTCCCCTGCCAACCCTTAAATGAGGTCTGGGAAGAGGTGGATCCTGGCTCCACCCCATCCAGTCACTCAGGTGCACTGCATGCAGCTGAGCAGTTTGTCCCTGCCTTCCTGCCAGGTGCTCAGTCGCTCGTTCAGGCCATCACTTACCATTTCCACTATGCTCTGGAATAGGAGTCAACTTAAATATTCATAAAGGTGCTTTGCTGTTTTTATTAAAGCCCTTCTTAAAAGGATCAAGAGATCTGAAAAATAACCGTGGGTTACACTGATGGGCCTGGTCTGGCCCTGAAGTCCCTCAGGTGCCCAAGTTCTCAGATGTCAGTCTGGGAGAAGAGGTTATGCACTCTGCATTTATTCATAGTGATAGATACATCATGCCGGGCTTCTGGATGCCACAGTAACATCATTCATATCTTTTTGTAGGTGTCGCTTTTGCATAATAGGAAGTTATTGTTTCATACATCCTAATGCCACAGCTATTAGTCATTCATAAAGTGAAGGGGTTTTTTTTTTGTTTGTTTTTTGTTGTTTTGCTTTTGCTACAAGCTACATTTAGTCTGGATTCAAATATATTAATGTATGAACAGCTTTCATTTATTACTGTAAATGACCGACTCTACTTGAGGGCTGTGGGCACAGGTCACTACTGGGTGCTCTTGTTGCACGTGGGCAGTATCTGCATCATCACGTGCAGGATGCTCAAGTTGCTGCTGTCTTACTAGAATGGACACTTCATACAGTTTTCTGATCCACATTTCCCTGAAAGTGATACATCCCTTATAAACATTTAATTTGGGGAAGACAGTATGGCAAGCAAAATCTGTTCCCTTAGAAACTGCTGGCTCTTTGTGGTGGTTAGCAGCTCATGTATTGGCAAAGTGGTTCTGAAGGGAATCATCACCTAAATTCTGTGGTTTCCAAAGAGTTTAAACTCATGGGGGCTACACTGACAGTCTTTGACTTTGTTGCAAAAAAAATAAGTTGCAACACCGCGTTTGATTTCTTCAGAACTTTAAGAAGATGGAATAAGTCACAAAATTGTATCTATCTGACAGGGTAATAAAATGCTTAAGACTAAATTGTAAGATGGTAATAAACCTTATGGTAATGCTTTAAAAAGCCATAGAATCACTCAGGTTGGAAAAGACCTTAAAGATCATTGAGTCCAACCACAACCTACCCATACTACACTAACTCTAACAAGCCACCGCTAAATCATGTCCCTGAGCACCACATCCAAACATCCAGGGATGGTGACTCAACCACCTCCCTGGGGAGCCTATGCCAGTGCTTAACAACCCTTTCTGTAAAGAAGTTTCTCCTGATATCCAACCTAAACTTACCCTGGCACAACTTAAGGCCATTTCCCCTTGTCCTACCACCAGTGAGAAGAGACCAACCCTGCTCTCGCTGTCAGCACCTTTCAGATACTGGAAGAGAGCAAAAAGGTCTCTCCTCAGCCTCCTTTTAGCTTTATAAGCTTTAGCTTTATTCAGCTTTTAGTTTTATTCAGTTTTATCCCCTCTAATAAATTTTCTGCCTCAACTTCTGAAATTCATTGCTTGGCTTTTGGATCTGACCGCATGGCCCAAAATAAAAAAAAGTAGGTTACTGACCAGTAGTACTGTGTCACTCGGTCCTCAGCAGTGAGCACAGCTCTGCTGAGAGGCTTCTCTGTTTTCTTGGCACAAGGTCACACTGCGTTGCTGGTTGTAGTCAGAATTAACAGGCGAAAGCCACTTCCATCTGCTCAAAGGAGAAGCGCAGTTGCACTGCAGTGTGAGTTAGGACTGGCCGTGCACTCAGTGTTTCTGAGCACTCATGCAAAGTTCAATGCACTGCCTAGTATGCACGTGTGTCTGTATGCATATATATGCCTAGAGCATTGCTGTACACCCTTATGATATTTGAGCCCACAAGGTGCATGCATCCAAATGCAAAAAACCAACGTGTTAGGTGTGCGTGGGCAGAGCAGGCAAGGAGTGCAGAGCTGAGTTCCTTTGTTAGTCAGCAGGAAGCATCCACGTCAGGGTTAGGGTCAGGGCAGTGGAGCAGTGCCGTTACCTGTTGTGGTGCAAGGCGCTGGAAGGCTCCTGCAGGCTGATGCCCCCTCCAGAGGTTTTTATACCGCCGCGCACCTGGAAGCAGCCGCGCTGCCCGCCAGGGCTGGTGGGCTATTTACAGCAACATGACCAGGCAGCGTGCGAAGGGCTCGCTGCCCCATGCTCAGATCTTTTCCACTTGCGGCATGAAACAAAAATGCTCCTGAACCTCATGGTCCCGAGTGCTGCTGCCTCACAAGCAGAACTCTGGGGCTTTTCCAGCCTCTCACTTGCCAGGCTGGCTGCGCCCCGTTAGGATCTGCAGTCCTGACCCAAGGGAGCAGCTGCGTGCGAGAGGCACAGCCCGAGTGTGGAGGAAAACGAGGGGTCGGAAGCGGCTCCGAGGGAAGGTCAGGGCCCGGCAGACTCCCTGCAGCCAGGATCAGCAGCGATTTGCACGGGCAGTGCCTGCTAGCAGCGATGGGAACTTCACTCCCTCAGGGAGCTCTTGTTGCTCTGCAGCACTAATGGGAATTATAGATGTCAGACATACACCAGATGTGCCTTGCTTGCACACATCAAGAATCAAGCAGTTGTGTGCATTTTCCGTGGCTGCCTTTCTGTCCCCCATCCCCGGGCGGCAGGCCCGACGCCCACCGCCGCTGAACGGATTTTTAGGGAAAAAAAATTGGAGTAAAAAAAGTTCGAAAGGAGCTGTGAAAGCCAAAGGGCTGGCAGGCAGCTGCAGGATGAAGTGAGAGAGGAGGGCAGCAGTGCATATTCTAGTCAGCATGTAAGGATGTGCACCTTTTGGGGGAACAGACTGTGAATTCAGGTCTCATTCTCCAGAGCAGAGACATGAGATGAGCCTTTCGGGGCTGTGCATTTCCCACCTCGGCCACGGGAAGGCTCCAGCAGTTGCATCGAGTGTAGGAGATGCCTGGATGCTTGCACCAAGTCACCCTGATCTCCTTTCTCTGGAATATTGAAAAGAACATATCTGTTGATTTATTTATGGATCCAAGGGACAGATCATTAACTTAACTATGTCTTAAAAACTGTGCCTCGTCCTTGTGCACTACACAGCCCCCCTCCATTTCCCCTCACTGTGGAAATAGGTGGCCCTGAGCTAGGTCAGGAGCTGACAGCAGAAAAAAGAAGGCAGGGATGTCCAACTCGCTGCTGAAGTGACTGTTGTCTCTGTTGAGCTGGGTTTTGTTGGTTTTTTTTGTGACATGATCTTTCAAGCAGGCATGTTCCTGGCTCTCATATCAATGTTTTGCCTCCGCAGATGGACGTAGCTCAGACCAGTCCTGCTGCCAGTGCTCTGCCTTCAGCTTTGGTGCTGGGATTAGTGCTGAGCACAGGCACTGCACTTTTCAAATCAAATCGAAGGAAAAGGCTCGCTCCTTGTTCTGTCTTGTGAGGGCAGTTGAAAAGCAGCTTCAGGATCAGTGGTACAGCATGGTTAGAAATAATTTAGGTGTGGCTTCACTTCTTGCCTGTAAGTTATGCAGGTAGCAACACTGGATGCTTGAAAAGTGCTGTTCAAATATACTTTACAGATAATTTCTACAAATGCTTTATGTGCCGCAGTCTCTCTCCAAGCACTTTTTGATTAATGCTGCAGATGAACTTCATCTGGGGGTGCAGCACCATGGCACTAAAATTTCTGCGGGCTTGAGTGGGCAGAGGGCAGTCCACCACTTCAGGCCTTGTGATATAGAATCAGGCTTTCTATGGTATAGAATCACAGAATGGTTTGCATTGCAAGGGGCCTTAGGCCACCCAGCCCCAACCCCATGCCATGGGCAGGGCTGCCCCCCACCAACTTAGCTGCCCAGGGCCCTATCCAACCTGGCCTTGAGTGCCTTCAGGGATTGGGCACCAAAGCTTCTCTGGGCAGCTGTGCCAGCGCCTTACTGCCGTCACAGAGAGAAGTTTCTTCCTAACATCTAGCCTAAATCTCCCTTCTCTGAATTTAAAACCATTCCTCCTTGTCCTATCATTATCAGGTTGTGTAAAAACTTGGTCCTCCTCCTGCACATGAGCTCTTTTTAAGTACTGGAATGCCACAATGGGGTCTCCCTGGAGCCTTCTCCAGTCTGAACAAGCCCAGCCCTCATTCTGCCTCTGTAGGACAGGAGCTGCAGCCTACTGGTCATCTTCATGGCCCTCCTCTGGACTCAGTCCAATAGCTCTGCATCTCTCCTGTACTGAGAGCCCCATGCCTGGGTGCAGTACTTCAGATGGATCTTAAATGGGCAGAGTGGAGGGGGAGAAGTGTGGCTTAAGGTTTGTTTGCTTGTTTTAGTTCTGTTTATATGAATCCCTGCTGGTTGTGTGGGTCTCTTCCCTTTGCTGTGCTCTCAGACCTCCAGCAATGTAGACAGAGTTTCCTTCTACTTATCAATGAGATTGGTCACAAACTGCCAGGACATTGCAGGGATGTTACCAGCTGCCACCTGGAGCAGGGCTTGGCACTGAGGAGCAGCAGTGCTAGTGGGAGCTGATGAATGATAAGGCTTCTTGTGGAAAGGGAAAAGGGTATAAAATGTCATAGAATCATAGAATGGTTTGGGTTGGAAGGGACATTTAAGACCCCTTAGTTCCAATCCCCTGCTATAGGCAGGGACACCTCCCACTAGACGAGGTTGCTCAAAGCTCCATCCAGCCTGGCCTTGAATGCTTCCAGGGAGGGGGCATGCCTCTCTGGGCAACAGGTTCCAGTGTCTCACCATTCTCACAGTAAAGAATTTCTTCCTAATAATATCCTCTGAAAGGGCCATCAACCTTGTAGTTTAGCGTCCTGTATTTAATATCACGTCTGTGAATTTTCACAAGCTTTTGTAAAGGTACATGCTAAAGATCCTGAAAGAAATTGAGCTTTGATAGGATGAGAAGACAGTTATCTCCTGGTTTGATAATTTGTTAACAATGAGGAAGCAGTAAGTTGGCAGATATGCAGAACATCACGGGGAGCAGTGCTGATGAGAGTACCCAAGAGATGTGTGAAGGAGATGGCATGGTGATGATGTAATGTAATTATTTAGGATAGTGAAATCAAAAGTAAGCTGAAGAATTGCAAAGGGATCTCTGATACATTGTGAGAGGTGCGAAAATGATAAATCAGGCTCTGTGCTGACAGGTACAGCATAATGCATACAGACGGGCTCAAGCTTGGTGTCACTTAGGAAAGTGGCACTGGCAACTGCCATGCTGCTTTCCAAAGTGTATCAGTAGTCAGAAAGATAAGGGAGCTGTTGGGTTCTTATAAGGAGGGAAAAAAAAAAGATAAAGAAAAGAATATTGGAAAAAAAAAAAAAAAAAAAAAAAAAAAAAAACCACCATCATTGCAATACCACTGTAGGAATCCAGAGTTTTGCTCCCTTTGAGGGTTTGCTGGAGGTCCTTCATAGAATTATAGAATGGCCTGGGTTGAAAAGAACTACAACTGATCATCTCGTTTTGACTCCCTGCTATGTGCAGGGTCGCCAACCAGCAGACCAGGCTGCCCAGAGCCACATCCAGCCTGGCCTTGAATGCCTCCAGGGATGGGGCATCCACAGCCTCCTTGGGCAACCTGTTCCACTGCGTCACCACCCTCTGTGTGAAGCTTCCTCCTAATATCTGACCTAAACCTCCCCTGTCTCAGTTTAAGACCATTCCCCCTTGTCCTATCACTATCCACCCTCATAAACAGCCATTCCCCCTCCTGATCATACGCTCCCTTCAAGAACTGGAAGACCACAATGTGGTCTCTCCAGAGCCTTCTCTTCTCCCAGCTATGCTGGGCAATGGCTGAACTATTGAAGAACAGCAGACACCATCCCAAAAACAGATTCTCATCTTTATACTGTAGGCACCTGCTGAATTCTTCTGGACCTGGGAAGCATGTCTTCATTCTCCAAATTGCAGGGACTCCTTAGCTGCTGACAAGCAGCCAACTGCCAGGCGAAGCTCGCTCCAGGTTAACATCCTCAGAAGGCTGCTCTGCCCGTTCCCATGGCGGTGGGATGAGCCCCCCAGCACCCAACTGTACCAGCGGCCTTCCACATCAGCGACAGCCAAAGGAGCAGCATGGAGGGAATCCGTAAAGTAACCCCAGCATTTTTATTATGTTTTTAAAATGGAAAAAATCCTTATCCTTGACACAGGCCTTCCATTGAGCACCTAATTGAGGAGGGTGCCTTCCTTAGTGACAAGGGTATGACTTCTTCAAAGGCTGTTGATATTTTGACACCAGCTTCTGTAAGTCTCTTTTATCATGGCAAAGGCCCATTAAATGCGTCACAGCAGTTTAATTTGGTAGAACACTCAGGTTAAGGAGTTGGCTGGAGAGGGAAGGTGGTCGTGAGTATGTGGGGAGGGAGGTCAAACACCTGGTGCAGCTGAGAGTGAAGATTGCAGTCGGCTGTATGAAGTTTCTGGTGAACCAGATCATGCACGTTTGTGTTAGCACTATTGACAGCAGAGAAAAGAATGATGCCTGTGGGGCTTGTTGCAGCTGATGATGTCCTATTTACTATGTAAAGCCACGTACCCGTGCTTCTCTCAGCAATGAGTTATGGTGATTTCTCCAGATCTTGCCTAGGCAATTTTACAAGACTTGAAGCTGTGTGCCCCTGGGGGGATGTTTCAGTTTGCACTTCGTCATTGATCTCAGTCCTCCACCATGCTTCCTCTGTATTGGGGTGGCCCTGTCTCTCACAGGTCATCTTTCTCACCCAGGGCCACCTTCTTCTCGTTGTTTGTTCGTCTCTTTGTCTGAAGATACACCGCTCCCTGGGCAGGAAGTCACTGGAGCTGAACTGTCTGTTGCAGTTTTTAAATGAAGAGTTCTACCCCTTCACCAAGGAGCTCTCAGCCCTGCTGCAGGCAGAGTACTGCCTTACTTTCTTGGTCCCCTCTGCCATTTCTCAGCTGGTATCTCAGAAGAAGACTCAATGCCATCTGCTATTTTTTCCTTATGGCAAGGGAAGAGATCATGAACTAATTCCATAGAGCTTTTTATAGAACGAAGATTGCGATGGTCTTAATTTACCGAACTGGAAGTTTTACAGCAGGGCTGATTTATTTGATCTGTTTGGGGCTGGTTACTATATACACAGATGAAGAACCAAATAGAGCTGGTTACGTTAAGGGTGAACACACCATTCACAGCACTATAGACTTTGGCCAACTGCAGCCAACACCACATGGAGATGAAGCTGGCAGGGCATTTTAACAATCTTTGTTTGACATGGGACGCACGGTTATATTCTGTTGTAATAGTATTTGCCTGGGATTAAATTAAACAAGTCCTTATTCAGGAGAAGCTACTGAAGTCAGGAAG